CAACAGGGAAGACAGATTCACAGGGGAAACTGGACTAACACAGAAAAACTACACAGAAAACACAGATCCTAACACAATCTGTGCACCCCTGTTTCCCACTGCATGCATTCATACATATTAAGGCATATTTGGTGTTTGAACAATTATAACAGGCAGCTTATAAGAGATTTTATAGAGGGGTCATGATTGAATTCACAGATTTTAGCTAGTCCAAACCAATGACTATATTTAGGTCTAACTGTATTGTAGACCTAAATAAAGTCATTCATGCCAGGGGTATGAATGACTTTGGGCTTAACTGTATCAACAAATGTTCAGGATATTTTTTCTTTCTTAGTCTTGTTGTAGGTTCATGATTGGTTCTCGGGTCAGCCTTCCTTAAATTAAATCTCTTCTGGGATTTCCAATAGGGCTTGGTACCAATTCTCAGAACATGGGTCTGATAGAACATCCTCACTCCAATATGTCTTTCATTTAGCATCTATCTCTGACACTACTAGATGATGGTTGTGAATATCAAACCATAACAGATTAAATGAATGAGATTTATCCATTAAAACTTATTAATGCACTAACTGTCCAGCTGGTAACACCAAATATCGTTAACAGGCCTTTGAGGACATCTACATTGAGCAGCGCCGGGACATCAAGATAATTCTTGACTATGCAGATCAGGTTTTCAACTTTGTGTTTGTGGTGGAGATAATTTTCAAGTTGGTTGCCTATGGGTGTAAAAGCTTCTTCTCCAATGCCTGGTGCTGGCTGGACTTCCTCATTGCAGATGTAAGAACTGTGATTAATCCTTCTGTGAATGCATACATACTCCTTCATACCTTCACCAAGAGCCTTCCTTTAAAGGTTTAGCTCATCTACAGATTTTGTTTTTCAGGTGTCTCTGGTGTTGCTGTCAGCAAACATCCTGGGATACTCTGAGCTGGGAGCAATCCAATCTCTGAGGACTCTGAGAGCATTAAGGCCCCTGAGAGTCTTGTCTTGCTTTGAGGGCCTGAGGGTAAGACTGGCAGTTAAATAGTGATAGATGGATTACTGTCTGAATGATTTAGCATTTCACTCACTGCTGCTATATCTACTGGCCTGTAGGTGGTGGTTAATGCACTGGTTGGTGCCATCCCCTCCATCTTCAATGTGCTGCTGGTCTGTCTGGTCCTCTGGCTCATCTTTAGCATCATGGGTGTGAACCTGTTTGCAGGGAAGTTTTATTACTGCTTCAACGAAACATCAGAGGAGTATTTCTCTCCTGAGGAAGTCAACAATAAATCCCAGTGTTTCGATCTGATTGAGGAAAACTTCTCCGAGGTTCGTTGGAGGAACACAAAGCTCAACTTTGACAACGTTGGGATGGGCTTCCTGTCTCTGCTGCAAGTGGTCAGTAAGAAGGCCAACATTAAGGGAAATATACTGGTTTACTGAACTCACGTGGTTTGAAATTTGAAAAATTGCTGTTTTTGTTTTTCTTCAGGCCACATTTAAAGGCTGGCTGGACATCATGTATGCAGCGGTGGACTCCACAGAGGTCAGAACTTCTCGTACTGGTGCTGGTACAGTTCCTGGTCTTGCTTAGCATTTCCCCCAGTATAACATAAGCCTGTTGGACAATTTCCATATTATGAAGCCTGGTCATGCACCTGTAAATTTTGTCATGGATTATCCATGTCACTTCTCACTCAAAATCGTCTGTTTGGAAGGTGCTCTTGTTGAGCAGGTTTGTACGTTTGCACCAAGGTACACATCAAGTATATAATCCTGACAGGTTTGCTTGGCTTCGGCGCAAGTAGTGGTCACACTTTGAGGTTCACGTTGAGAGCGCAGTGAGACTAACCTAAGCGCATATACATATCTCACATGCTCACTCAATACATGTTCTGGCACACAACACACAACTGGCTCCATGTCTGTGTTTGGAACCTGAAAAAGCTTATTCAGTTTAATGAATTAATAAATTACTCTATTGATCCTAAAGGGATCTTAAATGTTTGTTTCTGAGGGAAACCCTGTTACTCCAAGTTTCACCAGGACTTGATGATGTATTGGTGTTAATGCTATAGCTTTATTCACACTGGAATTGGTGTGGAACATGGTAAAACTGTTGAAGGTGTTCTAACTTCTATGTTGTCCCTTGCTACCGGGATTTAGATGGAGTCCCAGCCAGCGTATGAGCACAGCCTGTACAAATACATGTACTTCGTCTGCTTCGTCATCTTTGGCTCCTTCTTTCCCTTCTGCCTCTTCATCACCTCACTCATCAACTTCAACCAGCGTAAACCAAAGATAAGTTTCTTCTCTATGGGCACTTCTCCACTAGAGCAGCTCTAACCGGTTCTTCCCCAGTCAGCCTTGACCAGATTCGTCTCCATTAGCAGATCCCATGCAGCTGTGCAGCTGTTCTCCATTTTTCACACCCACTTAAGGGGTAGTACACGTCACGCAGAAGCGATTTAATTGACACAGATGCCATTTGTTGATTGGTCCAAATAGAGGAACAGTGGACATGTCATTGACTGAAAAAGAGCGCCACAGTTTGGAGGAGTGTAATTATGAGTTTAATCTTTTGGATTCAATAACCGTGTAAGTAGCACAGCTCTCTAATGAACAACAGCAATGAAGAAGCAAGAAACTATGCCGCTCTAGTCAGCAATCTGTCAGAGCCACAGTTTTGTGCCAATCGGTGTGAAAATCTCCAACTCCCTAATATTAGTATTCCGTGATGTGCATTTTATTCTTTGTTTGGAATTTTCCTTGAAATAAAGTTCATGCATGGATATTGGTGTACATTTTGACTGCATCAACAAAATCCAAAAGGTTGAACAAATAAAAGAATGAAATGCCACACTATAGATAGATTTTTACGCATAGGAAAAATAATCAGTTGAACTGAATTATTTTCATTACATTTTGTTTCTATAAGACAAAATGAAATATCTAGGATTATTTGAGTTCATCAAACCACAAGCTCGAGGTTCTACATTGCTAAACGTTACAACAAAAATCATCATTGGAGAGTTGACGATAACTGGTGCTTACTCGCTGCCCACCCAAAACAGTGAGGCACACATCCCTAATGGAGTCTGGGGTAAAACTGACCGGGATAGTAAGCGGTTAGATCGAGACTTGGCAGTGGAGAAACGGCTAATGACCCAATAATGAAAATTTTCTCTGTTTCCCTCTGTCAGTCATTTAATATTTATGTCTTTGTGTTTACCCTGTAGAAATAGAACCCCCGATAAAATGGATCCCCAGAGAGCCTCCTTCCCGACCAACAGTATGTTTACGGACCTTGAATAAAACTAAACTGTTAACATTGGTTGAATTTTGAACAACTTCTGTTTCTCTATAGAACAAGTTTCAGGGTTTAGTCTTCGACCTTGTGACCAATCCATTTTTTGATATGCTCATCATGGTGTTGATCGGCCTTTATACGTTGATGATGATGGTGGAAACAGACGAGCAGAGTCCTAAGATGGAAGAAATCCTGTACTGGGTCAACCTCGTTTTCATCATGATCTTCAGCATAGAGTGCTGTCTCAAAATGATCGCTCTACGAAAGCACTACTTTAATGTCGGATGGAACATATTTGACCTTGTGGTGGTTTTACTGTCTGTTGTTGGTAAGGAGGAAGGACATTTCAAGATTTTGTTAAACTTTTGCTTCAATTAGAGAAAGAATATATTTCTATATTCCTTTCCTTTGTCCTTTCTCTTTCTCAGGCTTTCTTCTTGCCGATATCATCGAGAAGTACTTCGTTTCTCCCACTCTATTCCGTGTGATCCGACTGGCTCGCATTGGCCTGATCCTTCGTCTCATTCGCAGAGCGAAGGGAATTAGAAAGCTGTTGTTTGCGTTAAGGAAGTCTCTTCCTGCTGTTTTCAACCTATGCATCCTCCTCTTCATCATCATGTTTGTCTTCGCTATCTTTGGGATGTCTAATTTTGCTTACGTGAAGAAGGGGTTCATGATTGATGACATTGTTAACTTTGAGACCTTTGGGAACAGTATGATCTCCATGTTTACGATCACCACATTAGCTGGATGGGACGGTCTTCTCTATCCCATCATGAACACACCTCCAGACTGTGATCCAGGCTTTGAAAACCCAGGCACATCTGTTAGAGGAAACTGTGGCAGCCCTGCAGCAGGCATTGTCTTCTTGACTTCGTATGTCATTGTGTCCTTTCTGGTGGTGGTCAATATATACATCACCATCATCCTGGAGATATTTAATGTCGCCACAGAGGAGAGCGCCGACCCACTTTCTGAGGATGACTTTGATATGTTCTATAAAACCTGGGAGAAGTTTGACCCTCGAGCTTCGCAATTCATACACTACAGGTGAGTCCTAGCAGATGAATGACCTCCTGTGAGACTTGGCTTCTTGTCCTGGTGAATCTGATTGTAATCTGATGTGTTTCGCAGTGAGCTGTCAGACCTCTGTGATGCTCTACAGGATCCTCTCAGGATTCCCAAACCCAACACCATCAACCTGTTGCAAATGGACTTGCCTTTGGTTCAAGGAGACAGGGTCCACTGTCTGGACGTCCTGATAGCTCTCACTGAAGAGGTAACATCACTGATATTGCTCTTTGTCACAGATTGTTTTTTTCTTCACATTGCAGCGTGAAAAAAGAACCGCAGTGGTTGAAAATGTAACTAATGTTGCAACTGAACCGGGTCTATCGGACAATCAGGTGTGAAAACACTAAAGGTGGGAATCGAGTTACTTGGTTATGCTATAAAATGGCACTATGTGCCTGGGAAACACATACTGCTGCTCCTTTAAGACTGACTGGAGCTTAACATACCCATGCTAACCTGTACTTTTGCAGGAAATGTAAGGCTATAACACTTGCGTGTGCTTCTGTAGCTGGGATTTGCAGGACATCTGACATTTGCAGCAGTTAGAGGTGGGTGTCTTAGTGACTGCGATGTTGTGGGGCGTAGTATAACGTAGTGTAACATCGCAAAGCATAACATAGCGAAGCATAATGTAGCGTAACATAGCGTAGTGCAATGCAATGTAGAGTAGCAATCCTTCAAAGCCCCCACTTTTCTCCGTACTAGATGATTATCTTCTAGATCGTTCATGCTTGTGAATGTGAAGACCACATACCTTGTCCTTCAACAACTTTCTTGATCTTGGAGAGGTGATGGGTAAACTGATTCTTTGGACACATGAAGTCAGGAATATCTTTCATTGATTGATTGAGATTGATCTGTAATTTTATTGATTTCCAGGCAAAATCAATACAATTCTGGGTACTCTGTTTGATCAATATCAAGTTTTAACTTACAGTCGGTCTGAATTTGTGGTTAAAAATCTTGTGACAATAAAATTACACTTCTGTAAAAATTGGGAACTAAAAAGTGTGACAGATTGTTCTGTGAACATTCTTTTTGTAATAATTTCAGGTTTTTGGTGAATCCCAGGCAACAGAGGAACTAAAGTCTACCATGGAGTGGACGTTCATGGCCAACGTTGCTTCAGAGGTTTTATCAAAATCTTATTTCCGTTTCAGTCTTGACTTATCTAAGTTATTTTTCATAGAGTACATAATATTTAAAAGATAATTTATGCAACTGCATTATATAGTTATTTCCTTTTTTAGGAGAGTTTAAGACCAATCGTCAGCACCTTTCGAAAGAAACACGAGGAGATGGCAGCGACAGCGATCCAGAGAGCCTACAGGAGACACGTTCAGCAGCGAGTGAACAAGCAGGAGTCCTACCAGTAAAGAGAAAAGACAGAGGGACAGGTGGCCAGGGGGACAATCTGTCTCCACCAGAGAATGATATTGCAATCAGGCAAATAATGGTATATCACACTTAAATAAAGTGAAAGCAAACATTAAGCAGTGATCTAATGACAAACACTCTTTCTTGTGCCAATTGATTTACACAATTTTCAACAAATTCAATTAACTTCAGTTCTCATGAACAATAACTCGAAGAAATGTTGAAGATACTTGTCATATTGCGATTTCACCTCTTACCACTAAAAATCACGAAATTAGATTTTTTTTAGATTTAAATATATCAGCACTAATATTGGTATTGGCCGATAGACATATCTGTACCAGCCTGATAAATAAAACAGCATCGATAATAATAACCAATATTTATTTCCATCTTGTTTCTGGGGGGAAGTGGAGGAGGTTGGCCATGTAGTGTTTGTTTGGTCAGATGACAATGATAGTGATGCAGCAAAGGATTATAGGAAGTTTAATTGAAGTCAGCAGTGTGGTCGTATTTTTTGAGTGAAATATATACGATAGTGGGGGATGTTATATCCGATATCGGTGTCAGCCCAAATTTTCATATATATTAAGAAAGAATAAAAGTTAAAGTATAGATTGTACTCCTTAACTTGAGTTAAAGTAAAAAAAAAGTATAGCTTTTAAAAAGGTACTTAAGTACAAAAGTAAAAAAAAATTTCACCTCCAATGGCACAAAAGGGCTTCAGAGGTCTAGTAAACTAAAAGAAAAAAGTTAAAATCATACAAAGTGCATTAGCTTTTATTTTTTGCTCACAACCTGTTAGATTTTTTAAATTACTGATACATTCCAGTTTTCCTTCAAACCACATTGAAATGCACATGTAAGCAGCAGGATACTTTTTTAAAAATTTTATACTCCACCAAACTTGTATTTAGCAGAAGTTGTATCTGTTGAGATCTGTGTTTTCTGTGTATTTATTTCTAGGTGTTTCTGTGCTTACTTAGTTCTGTTCCCCTGTGAGTCTCTGTGCCGTCATGTCCTGATTGTTCCCAGGTTTTTCTCGTTCCTGCACCCTCCTCGTATATTAAAGTCCACCTGTTGTCTTTGTTCCTCGATGGGTCCTTGTCTAATGTCAATACGTCTCTCGTTGCTGCATGTCTTGTCTCCTCTGCGTTTCTGGATTCCTGTGCTGGATTATTCATTAAATATCTACTAAAATGTCAGCCTGGGCCCACAAGCGTCTCTCTCACAGCCTACAACCCCACATCCTGACAGTAATCATTTAAACCACTTCTCCATTTTAGTAAGAAGTTAACACATTTTGATTAACATATAAACTTCATATCTGTTTTTTTTTATAGAAAATTGTGTCGCTTTGTAACTGCATTGTTTTTTCAGATGTTTTTTTGTTGAATGCAAGACATATGACAAAAAACCCCAAAGAAGAATTGTATGATTTCTCACCAGATGAACCACCTTTGTAATGCCTTAATCAGTGGTTGTCTTGGACTTATTTACATATTCTTTTAGTTTATAACTTTACACCTTTAATTCATACGCAGCTAATTGTGAACTAATCATGTGAAGTCATGGTAACTTGTTTGTGAATGGAATTTTGTTGTATTTAGCTACCTACCCTCCAATAATTAAGCAATTACATTGTCATGAATCCTTTATCAGTTGTTGAAGTTTGCAGAAATGCATGTGATTTTAACTTGTTATTGTAGTTATCCAATATTTCATGCATAATTTTGTCTACCATTATTTTTTTAAGTAAGCATTAAACACATTTTTTAAAACCTTACCCGGATTTTGGATATTATTATCACTTGTTCAACATGCAAATATAGATTGGAATATGTATTTATTAATAGTATTACGGCAATTAAGTCATGAAGTGATGAAAATTAAAAGTTTACATAAAAGTTTTTAGTGCACTGCAGAAAGCTGTAATGGCTCCTTCTGTGTTTTCTTATGAACAATCCTCTTCCCGGCTCTACACCGACATACAAACAAAGTAGTTAAGTGAATAGTAGCTAAGTGAACAGAAGTACTATAAAATGTTAGTCATTTAAAATTTTAGAACATTTCCCCCGGAAAACCTTATAACTATCAGAACAGCGGCAATGAATTGAGTGTTATCCGAAGCTAATTAACATTAGCTTAGTTTGACGGCTGCTACCGTTAATATGTTTCAAAACCATTATCAACGTTATAAAGCGAGCAACAGCACATGCTAAATTATTTCTTACGATTAGGTAAAAATACAAGCTTACCTATATGAGTGTTTTGCTTTTGGTTTTGTTCTTTTGTTTTTTTAGTTTTGAGCAAAAATTCTTGAAGTCCAGAACCTCAGAGTTCTTAGCTAATGGTTTCCAACTGAATGGTTAACAGTTTTTTATGAGGTCGTCACTGCAGATGGAAAAATGGATGGGCAAATACTCAACAAAAAAGTCATAAATTTTGAGATTAATGTAAGAAAATTTCTGGAAAAACATAAATTTCAAAAGTTGGAAAATTTCAACTATTTGCTGAGTTTCAAAAGTCAAAACTGTTCAACTTTGAAACACAAATTACAACATTTTTACAAAATTTGTGATTAAGCTCAAAATTTCAGAATGTTTTTCTAGCAAGATTTCGACTTTTGAATCTCAGAAATTTAAAGGGTTTTTTTGTCGGAAAGGAAAGAAAATTCTTAGATTAATCTCAAGTATTTTTTTTCAAGGAAATTTTCAACTTTTGAAACTTGAAAAAATGTCCAAGATTAATCTAAAAATGTATGACATGTTGGCTGAAATGTACTCATTTTGTTGGACAGTGGTCCTAATACACCAATGTAGTTTTGCAGGTTGCATTGCATAGTTATTATTATTTATCATAATGTAACTTAGTGCCATTTGCAAAAGAAAATAAAATACAATTATTTCACTTGAAATTGGAGGGGAAGTAAAAGGTCTTCAGAAGAATAAATACTCAAGTACAGAACAATCTGCTTGCACTGAAGTACTTTTATACAATTAATCTTTCAAAGCTGCTCATCACTTTAAATCAAACATATCTACTTGTGTTGATTGTCTGAAAGACTTTCCCAGTAGGAACATTGAATTCATTACCTCAGGTGTATCACCACCACACTCTTACAAGCTGAGCTAACCGACCTACCTTACATGTTGAGTTTCCATGGATAAAAGAAATACGATCTTAACAATGAAAATTTCAGAAAACTAATCAAGTTCTACAAGATCAATGTGTGTAGTAATCAATTTTCTAGGTTTTTTTTACATGTTAATTTTATTGACTTGAGATTTGAATTGGCCAATATGGGGATTGAACCCATGACCTTGGCGTTATCAGCACCGTGCTCTGACCAGCTGAGCTAACCTGCCACACACGATGTTCAGTTTCCATGGATCTAAGAAATACATACGTGATGTTAACTGAAGATTTCAGAAAAGTGCAGATATTCTCATGTTTTTCAAAATCAACATACATAATAATTTTTAGCAAATTTTGATTTTGAAGTGTTGGTTTCATTTTCCAGCATATTTTAGTTTTGACTTGTTGATTTTATTTCAGAGCCACTTTTTATTTTAAGGAGTATATTTTATTAGCCAGCAGTTTTTAGTTTTGATGTGTTTAGTTCATTTCAGAAACATTTTTTATTTTGAAGTTTTGATTGTCTGAAAGACTTTAGATTTTATTTGCCCAGTAGGAACATTGAACCCATGACCTTGGCGCTATTAGCACCACGCTCTGACCAACTGAGCTAACTAGCCATACACAATGTTCAGTTTCCATAGATTCAAGAAATACGTACTTGATCTTAACAATGAATTTGAGAAGAGTGCTCATGTGCGAATATTTTTCACTATCAATATATATACAATCTTATTTGCCAGCTGTGTTTTATGTTATTAAAACTTTAGTTGTGAATTGGCCAATATGGGGTTTGAACCCATGACCTTGGCGTTATTAGCACCACGCTCTGACCAACTGAGCTAACAGGCCATAAACACTGTTCTGTTTCCATGGATCTAAGAAATACATACGTGATGTTAACTGAAGCTTTAAGAAAAGTGCTGATATTCTCATGTTTTTCAAAATCAACATACATAATAGTTAATTTTTTAGCAAATTTTGATGTGTTGGTTTCATTTTCCAGCAGATTTTAGTTTTGAATTGTTGATTTTATTTCCCAGCAGTTTTTAGTTTTGAAGTGTTGATTTTATTTCCCAGCAGTTTTAGTTTTGAAGTGTTTAGTTCATTTCACAACCATTTCTTATTTTGATGTGTTTATTGTCTGAAAGACTTTAGATTTCATTTGCCCAGTAGGAACATTGAACTCATGACCTGAGGTGTATCACAACCACACTCTTACAAGCTGAGCTAACCGACCTACCTCACATGTTGTTGAGTTTCCATGGATTAAAGAAATACGTACTTGATCTTAATGAAAATTTGAGAAAACTACTCAAGTCCTAATGTTTTTCCAAATAAATGTGTATAGTATTCAAATTTCTAGGTTTTTTTCTTTAGGAGTTCATTTTATTGATTTTAGTTTTGAATTGGCTAGTAAAGGGTTTGAACCCATGACCTTGGCATTATTAGCACCATGCTCTGACCAACTGAGCTAACCAACCATACACATTGTTCAGTTTCCATGGATCTAAGAAATACATACTTGATCTTAACTGAAAATTTAAGAAAAGTGCTGATATTATCATGTTTTTCAAAATCAACAAAAATATTTTATTCTTCAGCAAATTTTGATGTGTTGGTTTCATTTTCTAGCAGATTTTAGTTTTGATTTTATTTACCAGCAGTTTTTAGTTTTGAAGTGTTGA